ATGTTAACTCAATCATCATGTTTATAATTTATTTTTCTGAATATGTCATCTTGAATAGATATCCATTTGTTAATTAAATTTCAATAAAAGCAATATTTCAAAAAAATTTCCTTGAGCATTTATAAGAGTATTAAATTTGTAAGTTACTTAATACCTAATAATGCAGGTGAAAATTTAGTCGAGATTCCCGCCTGTCTGGAAATTTGTCCGCCGTAAAAATGTCTGATAAAATTATTTTCAACTGAAAATTAATAAATTTGTGTGGAGTAAACAGGATATCCTTTTAATGCAAAGGTTATATTAATAATTTGAATAAAATAATTACTAAAGTAAAAATTTTCTAAGAGTTTTGAAAATTTAGTACTTTTTAGCGATGAATGCTTTAAATTATTGCTTCTATGATAGAAAAAATAATTTATAACAATAATGTCTTCAAACTTTTGAAGTCCAATCAGTAATTAATAACACTGTTGCAACTTGCCCTAGTATCTATAAACTAAAAATTTAAAAAACGTTAATGACTTCTAGAGAATTCTAAATAAATTATTTAAATCAATTAAAAGGTCTTTAGCAACTTACCCAGATGTTAGTACACATAATTGTACAAAAATAGTTGTTAAAAAATGATGCTAACGGCAAATCTTCTCAGGGGTCACCCCCTCTACATACTTTTGTTTCATTTAAGTTACGGTATGTTCTAGATAATAACTGTTAGCTACTGGGTACTGGTGATAATGATCGGTCAAGCTTAGAACACTTACAGAAGTTAACTGAAGAATTTAATACTCTTTAATAAGATAACGTAGTTTCTTTGGTCATTGAGACTTTAAGGAGGCGCAAGAAAATCATCCACAAGTTTGTATAGTACCTTGCCACCAGACGGTACCAGTTACTGAGAAAGACTGCTAAGACAAGAAGAGAAATAACAAACAATTTAGTAATAGTCTTACCGACTAATTGGACCAAAGATTTTTTTCTACCTTCTAGATATTTTTGAGTGATTATAACAATAAAAGAGCATGTTGTATTACGGCTTCTTACACACAATATGTCCGTTTTAACTCATTGTTCCAGTTGGTCAGTTGGTGTCGCCAGGTAGACGGTAAACTCCAGGTTAAATAGAACAATCAAGCCTTAAGTCTTCGACTTGATGCTAAATCGAAGGGTAGTACCTGAAAAGCCGAAAATTTCTAAAGGAAAGAATGAATGACATTTGCACCTGTTAGTTTACGTGTGGTCCCTTCATGGCTGCTTACAGGATGCCAAGGCTCACTTTCTGATCCTTTAACAAGCTCGAGTGCCGTAAGCTTTCTACAGATGCTATGATGGAGACTGCTGAAGCTAAAGTCGGAGAGAGAAAGAGAGAACTGGGAATAGAAACACCCCACGGTGAATGAATGGGGACGTTTATAGTTGTAAAATATTTAGAAGGCTCTACGCCTATAAGGTGAAGGTTTGGTTGTATATAGTGTCAAGTAGGGGCGTTTTCGTTAGCGTTTTAACCGTAGTTGGTTATATGAAAGGTTTTTTTTGAGACAGTTTTGACGGGAGAATTGTTAGTTTAGGGTGATTTTAGAAATCATTGATCTTTTTTAGGTAAATTTAATTAAGATTGTTAAAATGTAAGGAGAAGTCGTAAATTTAAGGAATTGGTAGGTAACTAGTGTTAGGAATGCAAATTTTAGCTATTAGGTCAAAAATAGTTCCACAAGCTCCGCTAGGTGGCGAAAGATAGTATAAGCTTCTCACTTGCAAAGTGTCAGATATTGCAATATATGTTTTTAATTCATAATTGAAGATATATTGAGAAAAAAAGAGGCTAGTTAGCGGAATTATAACGTCACAAGTATAAAAATATTTCTAAACTTTTTTTTTTTGTAGTTACTCGAACTATGCATTAGTTTAAGTACTATATTTTAATAAATATTTTTCTGTTATCGTGTTAAACAAAAAATTATTAGCTGCCTTAAAGGTTGTTACGGACGATGTCTCAGATAGCTTAACTGTCCGAGCCCTTGGTGCGTAACCAAAAAATCCGGGTTCGATTCCCGGTCCGGGCTGTCCGAATTATTTTTCTCTTTTCTGAGTTAAAGTTAATGAAGATGACTTTTGAGCCGATATTTTACTAAGAATAGTTTAAGTAACTATTAGGGTTCAATATAATAAATTATTCAAGTCTAGCTTGAGAAAATTTGACGCAAGTCTAGTTGGCAGCTCAAATAATTCTTCAAGCGGTCAATTTGACCTACGACAAAGCATATATTATTACGAGTTAACTTGTGCATAAATAACGGCTTCTGATTACATTTGAACCAATTCTATTTACTTAACACTTGGAATTGTCTTTAATTGCACGTATTTTGGCGTCTATTTACCTTGAGATTTATTTAATAATCTTAGCGTTTTATTGTTGGCTTAAGGCCAAGTCTGTTTCATAGTCACTATTTTCTGGCAAGCGTCAGCTGTACTGTGACTACTTTAAAATTGAATTCAGTATTCTTGAATTCCGTTTGTGTTTTACACAGTATATATCTTATTTAATAACTTTATTCACTGATTTTACCTCTCGTTATTTAATTAAGTTATCTTTGTTAATATTTTTCCGTTCATGGTCACAAGTGTCAATTGGCTACAAATGAGCAAGTAATTTATGCAAACTTTTTGTTGATATTCTGACAGATAGTGTGAAAAGTGTGATTGAAGGGTTATGATATTGTAAACAAAATAAAATAACAGAACTTTCTCAATCTAATCTCAAAGTTTCATTGATCAATAGAAGAAATTTCAGACGGTAAGTATTTTTGAATTTTTATTGTAATAAATAAAAAATTTCCTAAAACCCAAATTTATCATATGATTCAAAATTAGGCGCTTATTAATTTTTATTTTTTATTAAAGTTTGTCTATTTTAATTTTAAAAATAGTTTTCTTTGATCTTTCTTTGAAAATTTATTATTAGATCTGTTAAATAATTTTATTAGTCTAATTTTAATTAACTTCCCTATAATAGCCCCGACAGCCGCACATTCTGTTCAAGAGAATGTAATTAGATAATTTAAGTATATTTTACTTTTAAAATTTAAATGCAAGTTAATATTAAGGCTACATTAGACCCTTTGAGTCAAATTTACTATAATTTTATTTAAAAATTGATCCGTCCAATTTTGACATCGAATTGCTGAGTAACTCAACTTAGCTCTTGCTTTTCTAATAGTTTATCTTAAGTTCGCTTCAGATTCTGCAAATCGACAGCAAGTCTCAATTAGCTCATTTATCATGGTATAGAATTCTTTAAGAATTATCCATCTGTAATTTATCAATTGTGTAATTTATTAACAAATGATAACTTACCGATGGAAGAAACATGAACTTAAATAGGTAAAGTAGAGATTTGCAATAGTGATGGTTGATAAATTGACGTCAATTTGATGTCAAGATTATATGCGCAATTATCATGTTATTTTGCTATCGTTTTTGATGTGTTTTGATAGATCTGTCTCCATAAAATATAAGCTTCTATTATGAACATTAGACCCTTGTTTTCTAGAGTATTTCTAAAATAAATTATTTTTAGTTGCCCTTAATATCAAATTGGCATTGAAAAATAATAAAATTAAACAGAATTTATAAAATAGAGTTACCCTGACAGCCACCTTAACTGAAATGCCGTCAATCTACTGCCAAAATTTGTAGCCAAATTGACGAAAAGAGTTGACTAAGCAGTTTCAGTCAAATTGCCTATAAGTTACTCTGCAATTTGACGTCAAGACTTGATGAGCAAGTATTTCAGTCAAGTTGTAGCTACGTCGAAAGGAAATTATGCTACAAGATTAATTGTTAACTTGTATTCAAATTGCGGCAGTAAATTTTCGTCAAATTGCTTACAATTGTCAATCAGTGGAGAATTACCGCCAATTTAATATTAAGTTAAACGTAACTATTGAAATTCAACTATTTTATTAGAAAACTTGATGGATATCAAGAGAATTATGATCTATTGATAGAAAATAATTATTTAACCTCCGAAGAGGTAAGAATTATATTATTCTTACAAATTGATATTTTTCAATCTTCGAAATTTCCGATTTAGAAAATTTGTAACATAGTGAAACCACAACTCTTGTTATCGAATTCAGAAATTTTATAACTTCACACGCTTAAAGGATTATATTCTCACTCTTGAACTTTGCAATAATTGCTTAGCTCAACCACTGTATCTTACGAGGTTGAGAACAAACTTTAGACGAAGTAACCGCTTCCAAGTACAAGTATACTCCAGGGACTACTTACTCGTGTGAATTCGCGCACCGACGAAATATGTCAGTGCAAGTCTTGGGGTTTAATAATGACCAGTTAAAGAGTTGAGTTGCTTCTTGAGTTTACTGCTAATGAATCTTCTTTTCATCTAGATTCTGATTTTTATTCTTACTCTTAAAGACACTTCAATATGTCATACTTTGAATTGACATCTTAACTTTCTTATGAAAAATAAATTTGTCACGTCGAAATTCAGTTAATAGAGATCGTTAGAGCTGAAAGAAGTAAACTAGTTATTCATAAGAAAAAAAAAGTTCTTACAGTGAACGACGATTGTCTTGTGCGCCAAAAAGACGAAAAGAGCTTAGTACTCATAGTTGACTTTAAAGAGGGCATCTTCTATCTTGGACGAGGCTCTTTACAGAGTCGTACGTGACCAAGTGTCCGACGGAGTCTCTTGACGTCTACTGAATTGAAAAAGTAGTGTGCTTTCCTTTCTTATCTTTGATTTTATTAGTCTTTATAGTCGACAGCTTTATATAAGATCAGTTAAAATTGAATTGGCTTATTGTAATTGAATTCTAAATGTGTCACTGGAATTATTAAGTTTTTTTATAAGAAACTTTGCAGAAAATAATAAATAGGAACGAGATTTAAGAAAATCTACTTAACCCCAATAGTTACTTAAACTATTTTTAGTTAAATATCGGCTCAAAAGTCATCCTGATTAACTTTAACTCAGAAAGCAGAAAAATAATTCGGACAGCCCGGACCGGGAATCGAACCCGGATCTTTTGGTTACGCACCAACGGCTCGGACAGTTAAGCTATCTGAGACATCGTCCGTAACAACCTTTAAGTCAGCTAATAATTTTTTGTTTAACACGATCAGAAAAATATTTATTAAAATATAGTCGATGTAACTATTTATCAATAGTTACTTACACTAATGCACAGTTCGAGTAACTACAAAAAAAAAGTTTAGAAATATTTTTATACTTGTGACGTTATAATTCAGCTAACTATGCACTCTTCTCTCAGTGTACATTTAATTCCATCTTCTTGACATCATTTATGCACTGAGAAAAAAATATAGTTCTCTGAACTAGGAAAATCTAGTTAAATAGCATCACCACTATTTAATTGAAGTTCTTATACCTAAAATTATTTATTATATTGAACCCCAATAGTTACTTAAACTATTTTTAGTTAAATATCGGCTCAAAAGTCATCTTGATTAACTTTAACTCAGAAAACAGAAAAATAATTCGGACAGCCCGGACCGGGAATCGAACCCGGATCTTTTGGTTACGCACCAACGGCTCGGACAGTTAAGCTATCTGAGACATCGTCCGTAACAACCTTTCAGTCTAATAATTTTTTGTTTAACACGATAGAAAAATATTTATTAAAATAAAGTCAATGTAACTATTTATCAATAATTACTTAAACTAATGCATAGTTCGAGTAACTACAAAAAAAAAAGTTTAGAAATATTTTTATACCTGTGACATAATTCAGCTAACTACACACTTTCCTTTCAGTATATCTCTTTATACACACAAAATATCACACTAAATTACGCAATATTATTAATTACTTAATCTGTCACTGTGCAAGTGAGAACTTTAGGCTATCTTTCGCCACCTAGCGACGTTCGCAGAATTATTTATTAGTAACACTAGTTACTCAACAACTCTTCATATTAATGACAACTTATCCTTATATTTTTTAATTACTCAAAAATTAAACAGTAAAATAGAAATATTTTTAATATCAAAATTTTTTTACTTCTCTATTAATTTATTTTTAATATTATTTTTTTATATAATTTTTCTTTAGAAAAATTTATTTAAAATTTTTTCTTCTAAAAAATATTCTTACTATTTTTTCCTTCTAAATATACTGACTTTTAACTTATTTTAACCAAAGAATACGCCCATTAGTTCCTAATGTAATCTCTTTTTTCTTCCATAACACCTGTAAAACAAAAACAAAAATAATTCACCCTTCACTGCGAGTAATAGCCCATGGAAATATTTTTTCCTCCACTCGGTTACATAATTTCTCCAAGTACTCTTCACCGGTGCTTCTCATACGCTATAAAATATTCATACTAGTAATGTCTGGATCATAGTCATATCAGGATAATATTATATCCTTTGAAGCTTATAATTTGAGCGTGAGCCTTTTCAGTGTAATGTACCGTTTATAGCTCTACTTGGCAACAGGTTACCTAGCAACAACGACAGTTTACATCAAAGTGTGGCTTTAATATCATGAGAAATTGTTTACATTTGCAGGGTATATTTTCTTGTGTAGTCTCTAACTGAGCGCACATTTTATCCACATCAATTTATGGTCACTTTACATATTCACTTGATTTGCATTAACTTGTCCATAACTGGGAGTTATTTTCACGCATAAATTTATTTATTTATTTTTATATATATATTTCATCAATGTAAAAGCAAAATATAAAAAAAAATATTTTGTCGAGCGTATTTGTAAATTTTTTAGTCTATTGTAAAAGTTAATTCACCGTGAGTGCTGTGGACTAAAAATTTTTCTGATGTTTCTGTTGAGCGAGCATTCATTCACGCAAGCATTGTAAACTGCTTTTAAATTTATATAAAATATTTAAAAAATAACAAATTTTAAGCGAATGTTGAAAAACATCCTTTATTTTTTATATGACGCATAAAAGTAGAGTAAAAGTGATCTCTATGTCGCAGATGCAAAACAACGGTCCTATATTGATCAACCGCTGGTGGACATGCTTTTTCAGCGCGTAATTGACGTACCATTAACATTATATAAGCTTGACAGCTCGTAAATTGCCCATAGTTAGGTAAATTATAATTATAATAAGAAATTTAAATATATTTATGTATGGGCAGGGATGCATTTCATGTGGGTAATTGTGACGTTGTTTTGAGTACATTTTGTAGCTAATTGACCAATTTTCACTATGGACAATTTAATTTGCCTCATTATTGTTAAAATTAATTATTCATTTTGATTTTTTAAATCCAATTAAAAAAAAAAAATTGAGTTTAGTTTTGGAAAATTCCGACAGGTGGCGCATGGTCGCGAAATGTTCTCGCAATAGGAAAGTTTAATTAAATTATATTAGTTTCGGCGCAGAATATTATTTATGGTTTATAAGAAGCATTAAAATTAGAATTGATTTTAATTTTTTAGATTAAATTTTATCTTAAAAAAAATTGAGTTCAGTTTTGGAAAATACCAACAGGTGGCGCATTGCCGCGAAATGTTCTTGCAATCGGAAATTTTAATTAAATGATATTAGTTCCGACGCAAAAAAAAATATTATTTATGTTTATATTGAGCTTTTTAATTATTATTTTAAGCTTTAGAAGTTTGAAAATTATAAAAAAAAATTTATTTAAAATTAAATAAACAATATTGCTAATTTTTCTTTTTAAATAAATATTTTTTATCAGAATAGCATGAAAGAAGACTGATTTTCATCGGGTTAGGGCTCACTTGGCTTGTTGGATTACGTGTCAGAAATATCAGACACAAACTTGGAAAATATAACTCTACAAATCTTGATAAACCTAATTAAGTCAATCATGAACTCATCAACAATAACATTAGTTAAATAATTAAGCTTAATTAAATAAGTGATTAAGATGATTTAATAAATATTAATATTATGCAGAGCTTATTGTAATTTTTTAGAATTATATAATGATTAAAATATTTATTAATTTTAAAATATTAATATAAAGAGATAAAAAATTGACTAGTCTTAGTGTTCAAGACAAACTTTTAATTTAAAGTCGCAAAATTAAACACAATTTTTATTTGAAAAAGTTTTTTTCAAGGTTACTGAATATTTAATGAAAGTCTGACCGAATTTAAGGTTTAGACTACTTAAAGTAGCCGCCGGAGTTTATTGATTTTAAATTACGTTTACTAAAAAATTTTTCACATTTATTGTAACAAAAAAATTGCAAAAATTCACTTGTACTTGGACTTATATTATCATTAAAAATTAATAAAAAAAATATGTGCAATTTTAAATTGATAAAAATATTGTAAAAAAAAATTTAATAAATAATCGTAAAATTAATTAAAAAAAAAAATATTTGCTATGTTCAAAATTAATTATTAAAGTAGTTAATTTATAAATTAATGACAAATTACGCAGGAAATAATCTACACGTGTCTCTAATCCTCAGTCTATTTTCGGCTACCAACTATTTAGGGAAGGCTTTGATATTTGCAATTTTAGGTGTATATGGTATTAAAGTATTCGCAATGCGTTGTAGTCTGCACGCCATTCTCTCGGCATAGTAGTATGACTTGACGTCACGTTCGGGCGAGCCGATGAACGCATTAGTCATCGTATGTAGTAACGGTCTTGAGTCTACTGTATACAGCTTACTTATATCTATGACACTTGTTTTGTTATTAACATAATGATCTTTGGGAAAACCCCGAGCATGCTCAATCAAGTCTAATGCTTTCGAAGTAAACACTCTTTAGAGTCAAGGAATATTTTCTATCGATCGGATTATCTTGAGGAGAGGACAACAATTTGATTCAAAAGTTTAGTTTGTCGAAAGCGGTGTTGGATTTGTTGTTGGAAATAATCATATGTGATCAGACATGCGGCTTCTGAGTAGGATTAATATGGTTACATATTCACTCTCATGGTTCGGTATGGTCCAGTAAGGTCGGATAGGCTCATATGATTGCATTCACGCATTTGTAACCCTATATGAAGATATTCGGACTGAAAAAAGGATAACTTGACCCGGGAATATTTTTTGACAGTTAATTTTTCAGGGAAGTGATTAGTCCGAATTAAAAATCTTGAATTTTATTTAAAATATTCTTGAGCTAAATCTTTCGCACTTGGCGCACGGTAGAATATCTTTGTTGGAAAACTATCATTTCTGATACAATAAGCACTTTTTTTGAGCGAAGTATGTTACTTACTTGAACCAAGGTTATTAGAGCCTCGAGCCGAGAAAATTTAATCTTCAATTCCCTGACAGGTCAATAGATACTGATCAAAGTATAAGGTTATTCGTACAGCTCGGACAGCTTCACAGACACAACTGAAAACTTGTATTCAAAAAGATCTGAGTTCAAATCCTCGCTCGGACAATTAAAATTTTATTTTCAGTTAATCTATAAACACCTTGACAAACTTATTTCTTTTATCTTCGTAGACTTTTTTTCGAGACCTATATGACAGCATACTTCAGCCAAGATAGATATTTCTCAGCTTGACAATATGTTAAAGTAACTAAAAATTTTTCCAACTCAACAAAGATTTTTTTGCGGTTCAAACAATTATTTTTTTTTTTTTAATTTCATCATTTTTTATTGTCAGCTAAGAAATATTTTCTACCCAAATTTCCAACAAAGTTTTTCAAATAAATTTTTTTCTCAAGATATCCTTCTTTTTTTGCTCTAAAATTTTTGACATATGTTTTATCAATTGATATTAATTAAATCTAGTGGAAGGGGAAGATTTAACAAATTTATTTTAAATAAATTATCAATTTCATTTTTATCACGGATTGTAATAAAGCTTTTTACAAAAATAAATAAATCTGTAATAATAAATTATATAAGATACTAAATCAATAATAAAAATAATAATAATAATTATTACAATAATAATAATAGTCGATAAATTTAATAGTTAGTCAATAAATATCCAAAATTAGTATCCGTAAGTTTAACAATAATTTTATCTAACAAATACTGTACATATATTTATATTTTTTGTCTATATAAATAATTATAAAATAACGTAGTTTTCTTTAAAATAAAATAATTCTTCTTGAAAAATTTGTGATTAAATATTTTTAAAAAATTTACAATTTAATTGCTGAAGAGTTATACCTGGAAAATATGAAAAATCAATCTAAATAATTGAAATATCTTTCAAAGAAAAGGAATGCCGCCACCTGTTACGATACCTCCTACAGGTGGTTTTCTTGTCTTGTTATATATACGTCTTATGTATTTTAATTGTAAAAAAAAGTGAAATAAAATGTAAGTGACGCGATGATGAGTTAGGATAAAATATATTAAATTCACGACCTACCGCAATGTGTTTTCTTTTATTCGAGTCTATGCCGTGTAGTATAATTGTGTGAGAGAGGAGTTGTCACGGAAGAGAAAAGACGCGCGGTACAGCAAGAGCAAGTTAAAGTTAAGAGTTGCGACGGAGAGTTGCAGTACATGGACTTCTTTAAGCAAGCTGGACCTCTTTAAGTATCACCAGGACAATAATGGGGTATAATTGTCCCAAGTAATGCGAGGACAGTGTGCCATTACTGCATTTTTCATCTTCTTATAACTATAGACTGTACTTACGATACAACTGGAAGTTTAATACTCTGCATTACTTTTTTTTATCCTCCACTTTGCCCTGTTGGATTTTATCAAGAATTTACCAAGGAACGCCGTCATCAGGCCGCCGTCCCAACTACCGTCTAATGTCGAGTTATTCTATTTTCCTCATTGCTCATTGCTAACAGATTATTGTCCTCTTCACACGCATCATGACAGTTCTCTTGCCTCCGACCATCACTGTAATCCTTTTTTAGATCCGAAAATTTTCATTACAATTATTATTATCACACTGAGAGGAAAATTTTAAGAAAAATAATTTTATTTTAAAAATACTGATAAAAAAAATCACTTGATTTTTAAGAAAAACTTTTTCTTCAAAATGTTTTCTTGATGCAAGAATATTTTTTTTTAATGAAAAATATTTTTTTTTATCAGTGTATTTATATACTTACGAAAAAATTTATTTTAATTTTAATTTTACGTCCGCAAAAAAAAAATTAGATACTTTTCAAATATTGGGACAAAAATTAGAGTTTTTAAAGATGTATAAGGAAGTAAACAAAATTTTTAAATGGTACTTAATTACTCGATCTACACAGTAAAAAATTTTGCGTCAAAAAATTTTGTGTTAAAAAATTTTATGTTAAATATTCAACACTTTTTTGTGTTAATTTAAAATTTTTTTTAATGAAAAATATTTTTTTTTATCAGTGTATTTATATACTTACGAAAAAATTTATTTTAATTTTAATTTTACGTCCGCAAAAAAAAATTAGATACTTTTCAAATATTGGGACAAAAATTAGAGTTTTTAAAGATGTATAAGGAAGTAAACAAAATTTTTAAATGGTACTTAATTACTCGATCTACACAGTAAAAAATTTTGCGTCAAAAAATTTGTGTTAAAAAATTTTATGTTAAATATTCAACACTTTTTGTGTTAATTAAAATTTTTCTGTGTTAATTTAACACAATAATTGTTAAATTTACACAAAAAAGTGTTAAATATTTAACATAAAAATTTTTAACACAAAATTTTTTACTGTGTATAAATCTGCATGCGAGAAACTTTTTAATCTTTTCGCCATCTATCGGTCGTTATGGAATTAATTATTATTAAAAATTAATTTTTGAAGGTCTAAAGGTCATTTTTTAGCTTGTATTTTATTAATTAAAAAAAATAACGTCAGAAGTAATTAAAATAATTAAATTAAAAGCTTATAACTTAGTACACGGAAAAAAATAAATATTAAATACAACATGATGAAATCATGTTGCAACAACATGATTTGTCATGTTTAGGTTACATGACAATCATGTTGCGGTAGCATTAGAAAAATCATGTGACAGCAACATGATTTGTCATGTAGCCGAAACATGACAAATCATGTGGCAGCAACATGATAGACTATTATACACTAATATTACATACAATATTATAAATCTTTAGTTGCAGCTTAATTTTATGCTATTAAAGCTTCATGAAAATCATGTAGCTGCCACATGATTTTTCTCATGCTACCGCAACATGATTGTCATGTAGCCGAAACATGACAAATCATGTTGCTGTCACATGATTTTTCTCATGTTACCGCAACATGATTGTCACGTAGGCAAAACATTACAAATCATGTGGCTTCAACATGATTTCATCATGTTCATTTACCAAAACTGCATCATGTTGTATTTACTATTTATTTTTTTCCGTGTAATTAAATAAATTTTTTTTTTTCAAAATTTTTTTAACGTTTAATAGCCTTTATTTCTGTTCCCTTAGGGCTCGCAGGCCTACTGATAGTCCTGCTTTTCGTGACGGCAAACGGAAAACCAGCAGCACCTATGGCAGTTCACAAACAACAGTTTACATCGACGCCCAAATGGATAAATCCTTGCGGGGAAGCTGCCGAGAATCCTGATGGGTCAATTTACATAGAACAAATGAAAGATGAGCAATTGTTAGGGACGATCATCTTGAGAGCGAGAAACGCGCTAGATCACGCGAAGCGTTTCTGCGACCATTTTGTAAGTTTTTTTTTTTTTTTTTATGATCTAGTAAAAAATCAGTATAAAAAACTTTAATCGTGTGTGCGTGTGTGTTTAATATTCCGGCGTATAATAGTATTATGGCGTAATTGCCGATTAGATCATCCACGGCATTCAACAGTGTAATAATAGAAATGATAATGATGATAATAAAAAAAAAAATTAAAAAAGGGAGTCTTTGTAATACAATCTTAAATGTACTTATGATGAGACAGGTGTAGCATTTATGATATAGACTTCTGTGGCGTCGCACTGTCTGCTGTCGGATTCTTACGTCAGCTTGCTATAACTTATATTATCATTTTATTTTATTTCTGAGTACTCGATTATTATTTTCGTTAAGTTTAGATGATGATTTTTTGTCTTGATTGTTTGTTAAGTCGGGTCAATTATTGCTAACGGATTTTATTGACGGGGACTTGGGGAAAAATAATAAAATAAAATGGAAATAAAATCGGAAGCTGTCCCTACCATTATCATCATCAAGCATACTCTGGCTGCATACTAAAGTGCAGACCGGATATACCAATACCGGCGGTAAGTTGTCTGTGGCAAACTGAGATTCTTCGGTTAATGAGAATTATTATAATTATAATCATAGGTTTTATAGAGCTTGATTTTTATGAATTTTTAATTAAATCGTTGATAAATTTTGCTCTATTATTAATAGATAATTTCTTAGTGACTTAATTTTTTTTATACTGCATTTAGACGTTTGTTTATTTATTTATTTCCTTTTATACAACTCAACAGCCAAAAAGCTTGGGTTGTATAAAAGAAGCCAAAGGCTTGTTAAATATTATTTTAATTAAAAAATATATGAAGCTTCAATAATAACTTAATATTTAAACATAAAAAAAAGTTAGGTAAAAATATGAAGAATTTAATTTTTAATATTCTTTAAAGAAAATATTTTATTAAAGCAAGATACACAGAAAAAAAATTTACTTTAATCAACTAAATAATTTTGAAGAATTTCAATTTTTTGATTGGAGTAAACAAATTTTTAAATTAAGAAATTTTTCTTGACTTGATTTAAGAATTTTTCATCTTGATTCAAGTTAAATTTTTTTTCAATCTAGTAACTATTTTTAGTCGATTTTCTTAATTTTACTACACGGAAAAAAATAAATAGTAAATGCAACATGATGCAGTCTTGGTAAATCAACATGATGAAATCATGTTGCAGCCACATGATTTGTCATGTTTCGGCTATATGACAATCATGTTGCGGTAGCATGAGAAAATCATGTGACAGCAACATGATTTGTCATGTTTCGGCTACATGACAATCATGTTGCGGTAGCATGAGAAAAATCATGTGGCAGCAAGATTATTTTCATGAAGCTTTAAGAGCACGAAATTAAGCTGCAACAGCTAAATATTTATGCTTCAGAAACATTATTTATTATAAAGTAACTAAAATTGCTACCGCAACATGATTGTCATGTGGTCGAAACATGACAAATCATGTGGCTGCAACATGACAAATCATGTGGCTGCAACATGAAAAATCATGTGGCTGCAACATGATTTCATCATGTTGATTTACCAAGACTGCATCATGTTGCACTTACTATTTATTTTTTTCCGTGTAGATAAATATTTATTAAAATAGTTCCGCGAGTATAGATAGATGGCGAAGTAGCTTAAAAATTTTCCGCTTGTACATTGACAGAGCAAGTAATTAATTACCTATTGACATTTTTTACACGAATTAATTTAAAAGATTAATAAATAGTAGCTTCTATTTATTTTCAAAAAATAAATAATTTAATACTTTAGTCTATCTAAATCTTAATTTTCCAAAAGCTTTGATTAATTTATTAAATATTAATAAGGCGATACAAATCAATTCAAATTTTTCTTTAATTACTTTACGGAAAAAAAGAAAAATCGAAAAATTACATTATAAATATAAAAAATTTTTAAAATTGCAGTTTAAAATAACATTTTTCTAAATTCAAACTTTGAATGTTAATTTTCAGAGCTTTCAATGTAATATTTACAATTTACAATGTAACACTTACAAAATCTGTAATAATTACAACCTAAAACTGTAATTTTTTCAATTTTTTATACAGAACGTCACGTTACATTATTTAATGTAATTTTTTTATTTTGATTTTTTCTCCGTTCCAATAGAATTTTTATAAAATTTTGGTTTCCCAACATTCCTTTTAATTTTTACAATTAGAATAACAGTTTCAATTAAATTGTAACTAGCCTAGCCATATTAACGATAACTATTTATTAAAAAAAAATTTGAATATGCTTATACACGAAATTTAATTTTTAAATTATTTTTCAAATTATAACTCAATCAATTTGAACACTTAAAAAAATATAAAAGTGTATAATAAAATAAAATAAAAATAAAAAGATGTAAATAAATGAATAAGCTATAATAGAGAAGTCAAAACTACAAAAAACGGGAGTATCTGTATACATAATATCGTCTTCGGCCCAATCCTTTTATTTGGAAGACCCAGATTATATTCTAAGATTTAGGGCCGGTATTATCGTAAAATCGTGTTTAATTATGTATAAGTAAGACTTTGGTCATTCAATAAAAAAAAATGTATTATAAATAATAACCGGTTGACGCGAAAGTGTAGTTGAGTTATTTCCAAGGTTGTCGTGTTGTAGGTTTATACACATATAACAAAGTAAAGCGTTAAAAATATATTTTCAACCGAAGATTTAGTTTTTACCTTGGTACCTAAAAATTTCGTAATTTACTGGGCGGCATAAAGTCAAGCCAATTTAAACATCTAAAGGACTTTTGGAGTAGAGTAGAGAAATATTAAGAGATAGAAGGAGAGTCAATAAGAGAGCAGACAGTGAATAGTCACAGTTATCTTTTCTTTGAGGGCTTTTTTTTTACTAGACCACCATCGACGGATTGGGTATTGGTATTGGTATATTGACTGCGGATAAAATAAGAATTAAAAAATACTTTTTTTATTTTTTCACGGATTATTTTATTGTTTTTTTTTTTTTAAATGTGATACACAGTAGTACGTGAATAATTATATCAGGTGGCGTTTGGCTAGATCAAATTATAGCGAGCTGAGTTTATCGGAATTAATCGCAAGACGTTGATAAGACATTTTGTTAAATGATACGCGTGAGTCTAAGGCTGCTTTAATATGCATGTAGTATGTCACTTTTTTTTTTTTTTTTTTTTTTTCAATGGAATTCATTGATATTTTTGTTCGATAATGATAATAATAAAGAGAGAATTTATGAAGTGTATATTTGTAACTTGAGATTTTTTTTTTACAATGAAAATTTATTTGCAAGCATTGATAAATTTTATTTGTGAAATGTATCTGGGTGAAAAAAGGTCGAGATTTAATTTTTAATAATAGAATCAGAAATTTTTGTAGTTTATAATGATAAGTATTTAAGCTGCTAAAATACTTTATTTCCAAATACATAATTAAGAAATTACCTTGTTTCTTGTGAAATATTGACATTTTTAAAGATATAAGCCCATCCTGATGTCATACTCGTCGAGACATTTCATTTGAATTCCCACA